TGTAAATAGATTAAAACTGGATTAGATTAATTGTTCAGTAATGAATATGTGTGACATATGAGTTCAAATTAATAAAAAAAAAAAGAAAAAAAAAACCGACTGGTAACAGGCATGCTAGTATTTAGATTTCTCATGTAACTGTTTTATTTTTCGGACGCTTTCTTTACGTATCACCGCGTGTGTATCGTTCATTTAATCGCTTAAGTTAATTTCATTCCAAATGTAAATCTTGATTTTCCTTTTTTTCATGTTTGACTGAAATAACAGAACCATTAATTGCATTTGTTATTTATTTAGAAACTTAAACTATTAGACAATACCGATGAAACAACAATATCAACAGCTAGAAGGAATTTTGGTATTACCTGTTTCATTTCGCTTCGAAGTGTTTCTGTTTGATCAGATTTTACTGTGACAATAAACAGATACTGGAATAGCAACAGGAAGAGTAAACGGAACGTAAAAGGTAAAAAACGATGGATCGTGCCAAGAAACGTTTAGCATCAGCATTAGATGGTTTTAGGAACCAGCACAAATCGGAAATGGAATTGGAAGAGAAGATAACTGCGGAAGATGTTTGCTTGACAGGAGTAAGTGATGAACTTTTCTATATTTATTTAACTATCCCGTGAGGAAAGAGGTTCATATTTGGATGCCGTTAAAGAAATAACACTAGCATTATTTGTATTATTGGCGAGAGAAAAAAAGTACTACGAAATGATAGATTATTCATTTGACTATTCGTTATGAATTGATGACATCGATTCGAAGTGCCTTACCCTTTGCTCCATGGAGTCTTTATCACATGTTTTAAAATATGAATGAAAATTAATCTACAAATTTTGGTTTTTTTTTTTAAGCAAATGGCAGCATTTCGCAAACTAAATAATTTATAAAGATTTTGACATAATATCTCCAAGCGAAATTTCTAGAATTAGTTTTGTAAAATGATTTTTTGTGTTTCGAATCGAGGTTTCGAAGTCATTCTAGTAATACCGGAATTATGGCTAAGTAATAGAAATAGTAACAATTATAGTAATATAGATGATTCAGAAATTTCGAAAATTTCAAAGAGATGCTAAAAGCATTTGCGCTCATAGAACAGTTCCTTCTCGAAGCGGTCTCTGTTATTAAATCGAACTTCAGAAGTACGGAACATATACCAATGGCTGAAAAAAAAAATGGTAATTGCGACATGGAAGATCTCTAAGCTTCTGCACTACCGCATTCATCAGTTTTAAAAGTTTTCAAGATATTTCAGTAAATTTATCGTAAATACTTGAGAAAAATTTCTTTGAGATATTTGCAGATCGTAAGACATGGATTTCCAGACGACCCGCGATGTATGGCTTATGATACCGTGCAACGATTGCTAGCAATAGGCACGGGACATGGAGTAATCAGAGTCATCGGAGATGTTGGAGTGGATTATTGCTTAAAGCATGAATCAGACGCTGCTGTACTTCATATACAATTCTTGATGAATGAAGTATGTTTTCTCATCTTTTGAAGTATGTTGAAGCATGTTTTGTTATCTTCCCCTTATCTTTGTCAATTTCAAAATAAGTCATTTTAGTGGCTGTTTTAATTCGGAACTTCTTTCCTTGCTGACCTTTTGAATACCAAATTACTGTTTCTCTCCCAATCGTCTCGAAATTTTAATAAAGCATGAAACAGCTGCTTTTCAGAAGGCATGTGAAGTGGTTACTGTAGGGCTATGTAAAAAAGAGAAGGCTATGTAAAAAAAAGAAACAATAGATAAATAAATGAAGGAATATATCACTCTTTTTACTTTTTTGACTTTTGTTTACTGAATTGGGAGTGTCTTTTGTTGCATTTACACTTATTTTTTTCCTTTCGTAAAATTCACGCAAATATGTGCGAAACTATAGTAGATTTCAAAAGAGTGTCGCAATTTTTTTGCTGGATTTAATCGGAAGAGTAAGACATAGAGTGGAAATGTAATTAAGCATATAGAAAGTAGAAATCGAAGTAAACGATAAGAAATGAAGGTGAAAGGAGAAAAATTAAAGTATTGGAAACTAGAAAAAGTCAAAGATAAACGGAAAATCAATCACTATTTTCAGGGAGCATTAGTTACTGCATGCCGTGATGATCTGATACATTTATGGAACCTTCGGCAAAAGGTAAGAGGAACACGGGAGCTGTTTCGAACTAAACAGGAGCACTGTTTAGTTTGAAGAGATAATAATAATTTCATTTTGTAGAGATTTTTCGAGTCATTAATAAAAAAAATGTAATTAATATAAAAGTCAGAGATTGAAAAACTTTAGCAAGTTTTTGTTTCATGTTTGAAAAACTGAATAACTCATAACAAATTTGAATTCAGTCAGGAAAATAAGCCTTACATTATGTGATTCTGACAATGTATGTTTTATCAGTGGCTTGTTCAGGTACCAGGGGTGTTACATAGCATGCAGTTAACGAAAGAGCAAGTTACTTGTATCAGTCACTCTTTCCAAAGTAAATGGTTGTATTTGGGGACCGAACGTGGCAATGTATATATTATTAATATAGCGACATTTACGTTATCTAATTATGTTATCAACTGGAACAAGGCCATTGATTTGTAAGTTTACTTATTTTTTTTTTCTTTAGAACAGAGTCTTGTTCATTTAAGTGATATTTGTTCATTTTTCAAGTAAAATATTCCATTCCTTTTTTACTTCATTTTTGCACAACTAATTTTTTTTTTTTTTGGTTTTTACACATTGTTCGAATTGTTGGAATTTTTCGGTGCATTTTAAAATGAACAATGGGAAATAAAAAAACAACTTTCGGTTGGAACGAATTTTGGTTAAATTAGATTCCGGTTAAGTATTTAATAACTTTTCCTGTCAGTGATTCCTTTTCTTCATAAGAGGATCAGTGTTGTTTGGATTCTCGGAATCAAAAAAATACCAGTATTACTATTCCATGGTATCAAAGAATGCTTCTGTAGTTTGTTTCATTTTTAATGAATGCTTTGCTCACGAGCCTCATTGTACCATAACCAGTCGTTCCTTAAATTCGTTGTATTAGCCCTTAAAATTCGTTCTCCTTCTTTTCCGTTCATGGCATTTTTTGTTTTTGAAGGGTTATTTATAATAATGTATAATATTCCTTACAAAGACAACAATTCTTTTGCAGAAGAATGAATTCCTGTTAATTTTAATTAACAGTGTATTCAAATTCTCGTTTGTAATTCCATACCAATGCATTCAGTTACAAGAATACATGTTTTTAATTGTTGCCTTTTAATTTGTTTTAATGTTAGGAGATTGACAAAATATGTCCTTTTGATTTCATAGTTTCATTTCCATTTAATATGGCACGCATTTCATTCTATTATATTTCAGGGGTGTTCGAACTCATCCTGGTAGTGTAAAAGCTATTTCTACCTGCCCCACCGATCTTTCTAAATTACTGCTTCTATACGAAAAAGGGAGTATTGTATTGTGGAATCTTCAAACAAGAGAAGTAATTGGCTGCTCTGAAAATTAACTATTATAAAAAATTGCCCATGTTTTTGATCATTAACATCTATTCTAGGCAGACAGGTTTATATCTGATTATCCAGCTCGTTGCTTTGCATGGCATCATGATGGTCGGCAATTTATGTGTGGTACTGCAGATGGATCTTTGTTGGTTTGGAATATCCGAAAGCCAGGAGAATATGCACAAAAATTGCAACCTCATGGTCAAAAGTGTAATCCTATTAATCAGGTTTTTCTTTACGTGAATTTTTACAAATACTAAATTGGAAAGAAAAGTATAAATTCCGTACCCTACATTTTATAATTTTAAGGGCATAACAGTGTCGAAATGCACACCTCTCCAATTTGCAATGAATCAATTTATTTACAAATTTCAGGTTGATTGGAAACATTCAGCAGATGGAGAACAGTTAATTATTTTTAGTGGCGGTCAGTATTTTAATGGAGAACGTAGATTTCAATACCTTTCGTAAAACTTATTCAAGATCTACATTCGACGGATTAGGCATTCTAAAATTTCAGGCATGTCGCAGGAAGATAATGTACTACCCTCTTTGACCATAATGAGAGCATCAAAATCGATTGCAGTTCTGGAATTTGATCATCCTTTAATAACCTTCGCAGCTCTCAATGCTTCACCTTACAGCAGTGTATCACAGCAACCTTTTGGTGTTGTAGTATTGATGAAACATGATTTACGTGTTATCGATCTTACCATTCCAGGGTGATTTCATTTGTTTAATTATCTATGTAAGAATTACCATTTACAAAATGTTGTTCGAATAAAATGTTATGTTTTAGGTCCGCTATAGATTTTCTTGTATCCCTAGATCTTGAACTTTAGGTATCGAAATGCAAAGCAAATCTGAGACACTTCAGACAAAGTGTCCCCACTGTATGAAGTTAATAGGTTTATCATATAATCGGAGTTTATTCTTAACAACAATCCTTTGTGATGTTTTAAAGTTTTCAACTCAGTCAGAAAAATGATTTAAGTTTTATTGCGAATTTTAAATTTGAATGGTATTACAAGCAGTCAATAATTTTAGCTATCCATGCCATGAAAATGTCAGTCCTATGGATATTCATGAATCACGGGTGCGATGCATATGTTATTTTTCAAACTGTCCTCTTGATTTACTTGGTGCACTGGCAATTGTTGGTTCGAAACAACGGCGTCAAGGATTCAGTGATAAGGTTCATTCGTTTTTTCTTTTTTTTTGAACTCAAGTTCTCATGCTTTGACACTTCTTTGATTTGATGTTTCGAAATTTGATTTTGCAGCCATGGCCGATTGCGGGTGGTAGTGGACGGGATTGTGCAATGGGTCATCAAGAATTATTACTTACAGGGTAATTTTTCATATATTTTGGCATTTAAATGTCTGGAAACAAATAATCATTGCTGTCGTTTTAATAAGCATAATTACAATACCAGACTTTCAACGTATGATACACATGGCGTGGCTTCGTCAGAATCTTCATTTAATGAACGGTGATGCGTAAAATGCTATGCTTCATCTTATGTTTTAGTAATCTAATCGTCTCAATTAATTAGCGAAAAAAGTTTGGTTTTTTCTGATGGAAATATAACTCACTTACTTGTTACAGCCATGAAGATGGGTCTATAAAATTTTGGCAGGCATCGGGTGAACATCTACAAATTTTGTACAAATTAAAAAGTGGGCGACATTTCGAACGAAATGAAGGATTAGAATCTCATGAACCATCGCATGCCGTTGCGATGATTGAATTATGTTTGGATTCACGACTGCTGCTAGTTGCTGGCGAAAGTGGACAGTTAACGCTGTTTCGTTTTGTAAAAACCGAAAACGCTCATGAAATTACTGTAAGACGCCAGGAATTTTAAAATTAGAATAGGTTACATTGTCGAATATATTCTGCATTTTCATTTCGTTCGTTAGTATTGCTAAGAAAACTAGATCTTAAAGTTATATAGAATCACTAGAGTTCTTTTCGGGTATTAAAGAAAGTAAATCTTTAACGGTTCTGATGAAGTTATTTTCATTCTCTTCCAGGTAATTAATATTCCGGCTGCATTTTCTTTCTTACCGGGTAGTGTGGAATTGACTAAAACATCTCCAAAGCGAGAATTGAAGAGGCAGGGAACGGCAATCTCAGTGGAATCAAATAGTACGGATACCAGTGAGGGTAGCACACATGATGGTTACTTTCCATTAAAAGTGCGAGGCGGAGTGCTCAGAAGACTTGCAGGATATCAGGTGGGTTTGATATATATATATATATATAAATCCTTTCGAAGCTCTTACTATTAAAGCGTGCCTTTTATCTTTGAATTCTTAATATAATATTATTTCAGCCAGACTTAGTATGCATGGTTCCATGGAGAAATGTGTCACAGCCGGAGGCAATTACAGCGATGGCTCTTAATTCAGCATACGGCATTATTGCTCTCGGTTTGGACTTTTTTTTTCTTTTTATTACCACATATAACATCCTTTTGTAATTTCACAAGAAGTTTACAGAAATCTGTTTGCAACAAAATTTCTCCCTTACCTAGTTCTTCACATTTTCTGGCTTCCATCGCACACAATTGCATGAATTCCCCGGCATCTTTTTGTCCGGAAACCAAAAATAGTCCATGAATGCTACTTCGACCGATGAACACGACTGTGGATATTCAATGTATAGCATATTTCCACATACTGTATTGAATCGTTTTGTAATCATAATGATTTTTTGAACCAGTTCATTCTCAGTTTTCCTTATCAAGAGCGTTGTTTTAGGCTTGTGATAGCTTTCATATGTCAATTTGATGAATTCAGTTTAGAATTAACTTTATTTTATTCAAGATATGATGCTGATTAGCAATCATGATTTGTTTTAGATGTTCTCATTCTAAAGAATTTCATTCGTATGAAGTACATCAATCCCAGTACTTTCAGGTACATCAGGAAGTTTAACTCTGATTGATTTGGTACAGTATGTCATAATCTGTTCATGGTCAATCGCTGATCTATACACTCAGCAGCATTCAACACCGATACTGCTTAGTCAAAACAGCAACTCGAGTCAACATGATGTTTGTCTTTTCGAGCTTTTTCCGAAATTAGGTTTCTGGTTTGGATTATAGCTTTTGTGGACTTCAGGAAATAAGAACATGAGGTTTATTGCTCATCTGTTAAATAATATCACACGTTGGTATTTGAATTGAATAGCAGAGATTAGGGTGATAAGTTTAGTTGAGTTGGCTTGTTAGCACTATGAGCTGTGAAGGTATTTTTCAATTCGAAGTATAATTTTTTGTTTAACTGGGAGTAGAAAATACAAAAAGGACAAGTAGCAAATTGATATTGTTGCAGTTTTCTTTCCCTTTCCTTTTTTGATTTATTGATTTATAAATGGCTGTGTGCTGCTGTAGTATTTGTCTTTGCTTATTGTTGTCGTTGGTCATGTTTTTGTATCCCTCGTTTCCTTGCACTTTACTGCCCTAATTTTTTGATATTCAAATGTATATGAATTTATGTGGACAATGTTTTCAAGAATATCTAGAATAAATGCGGAAAGTGGTTTGATAAGTTGAACGATAGCAAATAAATTAGTTTATATCGGTCTGAGTTAGTTGATATCGATTGAATGGCGAGAAATATTGGTAAGTTGTTTCGTGGCGAGCATGCATAGGTGAGATAATGATGAGTACTGATAAGCTGGAGGTTTATGCGTGCGTTATGTCCGAGCAGGATTCGAACTAATACCCATGTCACTTCTAAGATATATGTGTACTATTCTGAAAATATCAAGTCATTTTCTTCCTATATTGCGCTTAAATATGTTCAAATGCAATTTTTTGTTATGAGATTTTGTCTTTGCATGCAATTTTTTGTCATGTCGCATATTTTCAGCCATCCGTCATACCCTCGCAGCAAGAAGAAACTTCCACAGCAAATATATTTGCAACTTTGCAGACGGATGCTATATATGTGGGGAATGTTTCAGCTAAATGTGCGACACCGAAAGTAGCTAAAACTACATCGGCCATGCAACTGAGACGTTCCAATAAATCGTCGAGTCGACGGAAACTTTTCGAACGTGTGACCCTAGGCAAAACATTTCTTACTCGGACAGCAGATGGAAATGACAAAATAAAAACAGTGGGAGCCACAACAACAGAAGATAAGGGGACATTGACGTGCGAACATTCCTCGTCGCATAATTTAGATCACGAGAAACGTCCGGTAGTAGAGGCAAAAGTTCGAAACGAAATGGAAAGTGCATCTAGACAAAGCAGTGAAATCTTAAAGGCGGAAAATTCGGGAAAGGTTCAGGAAGATTTTATCGGTAAACTACGGGTCAGAAGGAAAACTTTTGTTCGCTCATCGACGATACATACAGCAGCAGCCTCTGATGAGCAATTCAAATCAATATCGGCGTCAAAAGTAACATTAGGTAAGACAGTCAGCATGCATATTCTATTTTTGCTTTCATTTTAATGCTTTTAACACGAAAAAGTGGTCCAAAATTTTAATAGAATGGGTGTTTTTCAAACGCAAAATTAAGAAGTGAAATATACAGTTGAATCCAAAGCTTGTTCTTTTCCATCTGTATTTGCTCACATCTTCAAATCCATGATGTGATAAATAACAGTATCAGTGTTTGTTGTGCTTTGATTCCGTTACAGAACAGGACAAAAGAACATCTCATAAAAGCTTGCATTGATTTTCTTATCGGTTTTATGCGCATGTTTTATGAACCCTGCTTTGCTTGGATAAAACATCTTATACTGCAAGTACTTAAAAGAAAGAAAGGTTGATTGGGAGTGCTTCGACATTTTTCAAATCGGTGGGACATTCTCAAACAATAAAGGATAAGAGTTCTGGGTCGTGTTATTTTTCTGCTTATGTACTTTTTCAAGTCCTCCTATGTTTGTCAGTTCATTTGTCTACCAGTGTTTTCCATGGACCAGTATTTTTTTGCTGTCTGGCTGTAGTATGTATAGTAAATGATTATTTTTACAGCTACGTAACTGATAGGTTAACCTAAATAGTAGTAGTAAGTTTGGAGTAGGACAAATTTCCAAAACGTTGCTTTCGAAACCAAACCACATTTAATATTTTTTATTGAGAACTACTTTTTCTCAAACCATTAAAATTTAAAAATCTGAGAAGCTTTCGTCATAATCTTTAAAATTGGTTGTTACGGTAGCTTCAGTATGGTATGGATACGAGGCGTAATATGGATTCACCACCAGGTCTCGTCAGTAGCAAATCGATATTACGCGGTAGTACGGAAAATTCACGTCTACGTTCGGATAAGCGACCGCAGTTGTTAAAGTCGCAGTCTATTATTGATTCAGGCTGTGAAATTAATGGTACTGGTTTTTGTTTTTTGACACCTCTTTCATTTTGTACATTTCTCAATGAATGAAAATAGGAAAGTCAGAAGACTAAGTGTATCTACATCAACCTTTTTTATTCGGCTTTGCATCCTTTTTTTGTCTTTATGTACGCCATAAAAGCTATGTTACGCCGACGTGATTTTATTAGAATCTCGTGTGAAAAAATCCTCAAGAGATGTTGGACAAGTTTGTAAAAAGTCAAGTAATCCACATTGCGTTTAGGCTTAAATTGATTTGATTATTACCGTTCAGTCATTAGAGACATTACATATCTTTCTGATGATTCAACGAAAACCAATGTGACGTAACATGGGATTTCCATCACATATTGTTATTTCGAAGGCTTTAGTTGTTCAGTGTGATGATTCATTTGAACTTTCTCACCGTACGTTATTTATTGCATTTATAATCGTTGATATTACCGCACCTTTTAGGGGAGACTTTATATGATCGTTTATTTTGAAAATTCTAAATGCTGCTGTGAAATTTTTGACTGCTATTCTGGATAATTTGCAACTTTTGTTTTTTTCGATAAGCTATTCCAGTACTGATTATTGTCTTTGATGCAGAATTCTTTTGAGGAAATTCAGTAAGTTAAAGATATTCACGTAAATATTAGGTGTCCTGCAACGGTTAAACGGAAAAAATAATAATTTTGGACCGAGTGATGCGAAATAATTACTGAACACTAATTGTTATGAATTAATTATAAACAAACCTTTTGTTTACTTTCTGTAATACAGTTTATTAACTTCTCTTTCCTTTGTATGAAGTAAGGTAAGGTCTTTATTTTGAAAGAATTCTTAAATGTGAAATTTAATGTTAAAGAATTAATGCAGATGGCAGTAATATAAATGAATGCAGTTGAAAAACGAGGGTAGTTGTACAAATGAAAGAATAGATTTTGTGAATTTTATAAATGTATTGTTTATGCATGGTTTATGCGTGCTTGAATTGAACCTTTTCAAGTTCTTGTTCAACTCCGCAAATTCAAAGGAAGTTGGGGATTTTCCAAACTTCTGGTAAAGAAAATATTTGAAATGTGACATTGGGGCGAGAAAAAAACAGATTGAATCGAGCTGTAGTATTGGAGTCTTTAATTCCTCATTTTTATTTTCCTTTCTTTTTTTGATTTTCTTAGATTTCGATACTGTGGAAAACTGCTATGTACACGTGGATGTTTTCATATCGAGTGATTTCGATTTTGTTTTTGATTCTGCTGTGATATTCAAGTCAAGTCGATTGGATGACAAATTTTTCTGGAAATCTGTTGTAAAGACTTATATTTGGAAATAAGTTGTGGGGTATTTCAGATACATCAGCAGCAAAGAGAAGTTCAGTAGATGAAAGTCCATCAAGCACCAACAGGATGTCCTTTTCGGAGAGTGTGACATCGTTAACATTTATCCAGTCATTTGTCCAAAAAAAAGGTTAGTCTTTAGCGTGAAAACGTTCGTTAAATGTTATATTTAGTATATCTGTAGATTATTTATGATTGTCAACAGCATTTTAAATTGCTGCTCTTAGTAGATCAATTTTTACTGTAAAAGTTTAGGACTGCTAAGGTTATGTTCTCAATGAAATAAGCATGCTAGAAGAACTCGCATCGATTATTAAGAGTTTCCAACTCTTACGGTTACAAATTTGGAGCGATTTGAAGAGTGCAATTTTTTTGAGAACTTCAGATCCTCGAGCACATTTGTGTCTTTGGGTTGGTACTTCTGCGAGCACATGTATCATCTATCATTTACTGCTTCCGGCGGATCGTTTAAACTCAACAGTTTCCGTAACTCCTAGCGGTTCATGCTTTTATTGATTTCTGTAAAAGATTTTACGAAAACTTTTAATTCAGCCATATGTTTGTTTTGATTACATCAATTGTTAATTGTCAAGATTGATTGAAATTTGTGTAATGTAGTCGATATTAACTCGCAGTCTAAGTCGAATTGAATTTTATTTATTCAGTTCAGATATAATTCCTTCAACAGTACACCTTTGCAATGCAGCAAAAGATCTAGAGAATTTGATCTATCATAAAACTATCATAAATTAATTTTCTGGAGTGTTTTTTCAGGTTCAGTAGTACAGACACGAGGGCGTATGCTATGCACGACGTTGATGGATCGAAACTTTTGTTTGTTAGAGGGTGCAGCAGAAAGTTACCATGAAAAGGTGATTGTCGCGAAATCCAAAGTCAGTTTTAAATATATGTAATCTATGGTTTCTGAACCACGAGTGTTTCCGAAATTTTTGTTGCAAACTTTAAAAATTAGTCTTCACAGAAAATACACGTATTGAAACTTTAGTTTCACAATCTTTCCAATTTTAGTGAAGGGAAAGAGGATTTTATGTCATCCATTCACATTTGGAATTGCAAGCGACATTACCATTAACCATAAATAAACTAAACTCTTTCAGGGAATTGATCGGAGTCATTCAGAAGAAGGTAATTATCCAAATAAAGTTCTTACAAAACTAAGTCTTTCACCAACTTGTTCAAACGCTACAGAATACTCTCGAGAGGATGACTTTCTGCAGGTAAATAATGGGGAATTTTCATACATTCAAGAATCTGCTTTTCAATTACTGATAGTTAAATTTTGATTTGCATTGCTTTGCATTAAATGCATCATTACGTTTGCTGTCTTATGTGCATTATCATATAAAATACGTAAAGTCGAAGGTTCACCTTTGATATTTTCGTCTTTTTATTTATAAAATTGTTTTTGTTGATTTTAATTTTAGTTGTCATTTCAGTTTGCTGTTTTGGTTTCTGAGGATGAAGTACACACCGTTGCATTACCAAATTTCAGTTCTTTGTTTTTATACCGTCCGGAATTCCCATTCGTTAAGGTTAATTTTTCAATACATTTGGAAATATCGAAGTTTCTAGAACTCTTTCCTCACTAGACCTCGCTTGGAAGATTATCTCGTTGAGAAATATGAAAGATGGATAGTATCAGCATATAAAGTGCCTTCTGAACATCAGACCAAAGTTGCTTGCTAATTAGGTGAAGTGAAGGCGTCTGACTGCTTAACAAACCAGGAGATGATTTGATTAGAGCGAAAGCGCAACCATTATGCAGGTGTTTGAACTTTATCATAGGGCTACGCAACACGGAGTGACTGAAAATTTTGATATTTACACATCCGTGAGAAATATTCACGAGTTTCCACCAGCATCTTTCAGGCACGAGCAACACACGTTCATGGCTATCCCGTGCTGATGTTATTAAATGGTGCGGGACAAATTGTTATACTAAGCCTTCCGAGTTTAAGGCCTCTTCTTTGCTCAAGTCTCTTCCGACATTCCGTTGATTATGATGACCCGTAATTTTTCTCTAATAACAGTCATTTGTGACAAAATTAGTAATTTTAATAAAATAGTCACATGGTGCATGGAAGGATAGCTGAAAAGGAATCAAAAAAAAAGAATCATTGTCTGCTGCTTTGATAAAGTATTTACTTCCAGAGAGAAAGAGAGAGAGAGAGAGGGGAGAGGAGGGAAAGAAAGAAAGGAAGAGGAAAAGTAAGAAAAATAGTTTTTCGCGAAATTCGCTGGAATTATGCAAATTTCGCTTTTTTATGTTTCGTGCTTCGCTTTACGGTTTAATAGAATTAATCAGAAAAGAATTTATTCCCGAATGTTTTCACAGTTTTGATCCTATTTTAGTATGTGCTTCAAGACATCCTTTGCGGAACATGGACTGGGTATGTATACGATAACACCATCGGAGGTAAGCGACCAGTTGAAATGGTTATACTTGTCGTTGTTCAATTTTTGTCGATGGTTAATAATTGTGGAAAGTAGTCGAGTATTATCCGAATAATAGCGAAGAGGAAACTTCCACCTTTCCTCTCATTCTTTTTTTTAGTTTCGAAAAAAACATTCAAATTGAAGTATAGAAGAAGGGAAGAAAAAGAATAGAGGAGGTAAGTCGAAGGGCAAGTGAAAATGAGTGGCCCAAGACGAACATATCTATGATTGTTATACGTGTGCGTCTGTACAGATTGACTAGATTTAATATATGTTGTAGATACATTTCCTTCTATTTTTTAATATAGAATGTCAAACTTTTGTCACCTGTAAAATTTCTGATATAGAATTAATCAGTATGTTGTATGTTTCAATCATTTTAGATCCAGAAATTCACGGTTTGCTCCGAATTGGCAAATCAAGTTGAGGAATCAGCTGGCGAGTTATTTGTGCCTGTTGATATGCCTGAACCGCCGAAAAGCTCATTCCTGAGAGGGATGTCAACCTTATTTGCCAGTCAAAAAGATAGCTTCGATTTGGATACTATATGTATTTTCTAGTTCTTCACTTTTTTTCTCATCATTTCCTGACTGATTTCACACCGTTTTTTTTTTTGATTTGATTATAATTTCTCTATCCGCTTTACTTTCAGTTCTTGACAAAAATTCCAATTCGGTGCCAGGCAGCAGTATGCGTTCTATTGCAAAAACGATACCTGGTCCGTCAAGTATGGAGCAAACTGTAGCAGGAGGAGTATCAGCAGGTCAAGCTGCAAATATGGCTTTACAGGTAAGTGTTTTATTGTCATAAGGTTATAAAAATTACTTTGTTTAATGGTCTTGAATAATCTATTTTAAATCTCTTTTTTTTCTTTATTTGTCTTATGTGTGCAGGAAATTTACTGGAATTGAAAATATATGAAGCCTTATCTTCTTGCCTCTTTCATCCTTTTTCAGGTGAAAGAGGGATGTCTTTTACATAAGGCAATAGGCAATTTTCCAGAGATCTGATGTAGCAATTTATAATAGTAAGATATAAGTTCTAGATGTTTTGCCAGAACGAAAAGATCATGCAGCATAGATCGCTCTTTGATTCATCAGTAACTAGGCAAAAATTAAACGAAGCGGTTTGAATGCTTCCATCTTCAGCTATTTCGAGAGGTCTTCATTTTCCAATTTTCTGTATCATAATAGGAGCTTTATCCCCTTATCAATTGATGATGGACTATTTTGATTGCATATTTGCAGTATCTCAGAGTTCCAGGCCTTGCATGAACGTGCAGAAAAGCTGAATGTAACCGTAGATGCAACAGAACGACTTAAAGAAAATGCCATGACCCTTTCGCAACGAACGGGAAAGCTGGTGGAAAAGTACGAGAAGAAAAAGTGGTACAATTTCTAGATGCTTAGGGCTAGAGCTGCTCGAAATTCAGTGTTGGTCTTTGTTCGAAACTAGTCATTTTATGTTATTTCATCCGACATAATTTCTTTGTTGTGAAATATTTCTTTTCATGCATTTCTGTATTAATTTGACACCTTTCCGTTTTCAGTCGCAGGGCCCTTTTTTGCTTGCTTCATTCATAATTAGATTCTTCTCTTTCAGAACATATAGTGCTGCTGGGGTTTCAGTTTATAACGTTTCCGTAACCTGCTACATTGAATATTTCACTTTCACGTAGTTTCTTGTAGACATGGATGTTATAAGTGAATTATCCCACGTATTCGGTGATCTCTGCATTACTTTCTTCTCAAGTGTTTAATTTTGGTATGACTTTATTTTTCCGAGAAACTTATGGAAATCTCTTGTAATCTGTCCCCAGTATATTTCATGTTTAGGGTTTTTATTCCATTTTATTTAGAAGTTTTCTCTAGTAGTACTATTTCGCGTATCACAAGATGTCTTTTTTCTTTATGCGTAGTAACATTTACGCAGTTTTCAATATAAATTATTTTCTAAACATTAGGTTATGTCAAACGTTAATTTCATCTCAGGCTGTAGCTCTTTTAAAAAAAGTTGTATTCTGGGATCCGAAGAGAAAATTGAATTACTCGACAAAGCAAAAGAAATTTACCTAAGAATATTTTTTTTCGAATAGTTCGACTCAAGAGGAAGAAATTTCCAAAATCTGGATGATTTCGATACGTTAGAAGGTCTCTTTCTTTTTTGATGATCAGTCATGATTAAATTAATCCTGGGTGAAACAGTTCTCTTCAGAATGAACTGAACCGTTATGGCTGAAATTAGAAAGAGCGTGGAATTTTTTTATGAAAATTTAAATAATGTAAGACGATGAAAAAGTTTTACCCCAGAAAAAAAAACTTCTAACTGAAAATGAAATCTAAAATTTATGAGATTGTGATATTTTTCGGGATATAACAGTGTGATTTTTAAAAGCAATTTATTAGAAATGAAGATTAAGTAAGAGTGCAAAGATCTACCTAATTGAAAATAAGCTGAAATAAATTTAAATTATCCGTTTCATGCTGATAGGTTTCCTCATTGATCGAGTTGTAATTTTAACGAAATCTACTGTTTAATAGTTAGAGATTGTAAGATAGTTCATGTGATAAATCCCTGTAAATTGTAATCAGTGTGGTTGTGTTTGGTTTCGGTCTCATCTCTCCGTTTTTTTTTTCCTGATGCTATAAATATTTTATTACATGACTGTTGTGAATAAACAGTTTTCGTCCTACAACTATTTGATTCATAGTTGCTACCGATCATTGTAATGTTATCCATTGTATTTCATAGTTTCTAATGCATCCCTTAACGTAGCCTGACTTTTGCATCATCTACTTTCTCACTGATTGCTTTGGTTTTAAATACGATCTATAACAGATAACTGCATGGGCATAAAGTAACATTACCTGATTTGACGTAGTTTAGATGTGTATCCTTTCTTCGTAACTACATTAGTTTGAAGTTTGAAAAATGGAAGCGAATCAAGAGACGTAAAGTAATGAAGTGTTACTAACGTAAGCTGGACGTGCCTTACTTTAACTACTGGCTTGTTTTGAAGTGCAGTGTGTGGTATTAATCCAAACACTCCATCTCATACTTAAGCTTTTAAGAGATTCAACAGTACTCCACGTAAAGCCACGTGACTCCACATGATATCAAGCTTGAGTATAATCAACTTTTTGACAATTACTTTAGCCTGCAATGTTTGGCCTGTAGTACGTGACGCATATGACTTCTAGATTTTTACTCTGAATGATAATGGTCTGAACATAACGAATGAATCCCATCCACTTCCCTGAATCGTCTATGGTAGGCTACCTGTACGAAAGCTAAACGCCTGGGAATTTAACTTTTTCAGAATGTGTGCACTCCAAATAGCATATAGAGTATTTGGTTGTTTCATGGTTTGCGTTGAAGGGAAAGTAGCGGGTAGGGAAGTCGAACATCCTGTGGGATGTGGTTTGGATGTAGTTCGAAAAGTTCGTTTCTTTTTGTAGAGACCAAGAGTTAGAACCTACTCTGTCATAGTTGATTAAATCTTGGTTTTCCAGAAGTACATCTGTTCGTGTTTCGAAACTGTCCAACTCTTGTCATTTTTGATTCGTTCCTTGTCATATGGGATTTAACAGAAAACGAATTTCCAATTCTCCAGCTATATATAAGATTTACTTGAACTTAACTATCACAGGACCATTAAGTTGCTTAGATAATCTGAATGATGTCTTGGTTTCATCTTACTTCACTATTTAATTAAGTGGTAAATAGTTTTTCTTTGCTAAGGTTAATCAAAGATGGTGTACAAACGAATGGTGGAAATAGGGCGCGTGGTCTTTGTTGCCAAAGGTGATGGTGATGGAAAATTGGCAGCAATTGTTGATGTTGTTGATGGGAATAGAGTTGGTTTTTTTATTTCTTGAATCTTTTATTCTATGTCGGTCACAATTCATATTGCAAACTCTTGTCTTACATGCCATTTGGCTGTCATTGATGCACTTCTTAGCACTACGCAACATGTGTTTATCTAATGTGGTTAATCTAGTGATATGTCAAGACTGTTTTTCAGCAGAAAGGTCTTCTTTTCCAAATTCAGTTTTTGTTCCTTAGAGGATCTAAGAAATGTGAAGCAAATTGATAACCAATATTAAAATTTTAATGAGAAAACAAAGTTACGATGTTTGATGTCGTTGTAAATTTCCAGGCGTTGATTGATGGACCATCTACAGGGGTGAAACGTTCGGTTCGTAATTTTAAAGACCTTCATTTGACAAAGTTTCGTATACCACTGAGACATGGAATGCGTACAAGGAATGTCAAAAAAGCATTTGATGCAGAAAAAATCAGTGAGAAATGGACAGAAACTTCATGGGCGCAAAAGCTTGCTAAAAAGGAAATTGTAAGTGTTACTTATAAATGCTTGTTACCTCTGGTGATGACTGATTGTAATTTCTAGCATATCGTTATACAGGAATTAATTGGCGTGTCTTTGAATAGGCTTTTTTAGGGAGAGGAGGCAATTTTATAGTATCCATGCCATATGATGCTGCCTATAGCGGCTCATCCACTTTTTCTGAGTGGTATAGATGTACTATTTGCTATTTGAGGATTGAGCACTAGCAAACTATTGGGCGCTGGGAAATGGTTATTATCTCTCGTATATTTTAGTTGGTTGTTTCGAGCCACGTTCTGCAACTAATTTCAGGACATCCTTCACTACAGTTTTTGAATTAGAAGTGAAAGATTGGAAGACTTTTTCACCTTCTAAACGTTGCTCTCTGCTTTTTAGAAAGCAAAGATGACAGATTTTGATCGGTTCAAATTGATGCGTGCCAAGCAGCTGCGAAACAGGTTGGTGCGTTTGCAGGTGGCCAAATTGCGCAAGACAAAAAAAGCTGAGAAATTGACTAAAGGGAAATGAAAGGAATTGTTTGCTTTTCATACGTTGGCTTTTTTTTTGTTAATTAAATGGAATTATTGTTTGCAATTTCAATAAATGTGTAAAGATCTGTTTGAGGAACAGAAAATATTTCTAAGCTACTCGGAGTTTAACTTACAGTGATGGCGGGAGGTTTTTCTTTCGATGTTGGAAGATCAAGAGACCATTATCATAAAATGAAGTATGGATTGTTCAATTAACCTGAAATTATTACTTTCTACTTATTTGGGAGTGTAATGAAGTATAACTTGTATAGCTCATAAAGCTAATATGCTGTCAAAAAACGGGGTAATTGGGAGGATGACATCGAATGTCGTTTGAATCACAAGTATAATTGATTCTTATAAAATAATGCAAAATAGTGCTGCCGGAGGGAATCATAGGACTGATTGTAAACATGAAGAAAAACCAGTTCATGTTGCATGGTTCTTTCCCAAAGGTGTGTTGTTTTGAAGGTATGAATAAAAAGTAAGGCATACTTCTGAGGATGATACGTTAATGAGCTGTATTTAAGAGTTGTGTCGGTGTTACTGAATTTCCATTCATCAGTGGGCTATATCCTGATGTGATTATTTACAATCAGATAGATCTATGACGCTGTTGCTATCAATAGTGTTTCCTTCAGATGGTGAATTCTACTAGATGACTTTTATTGATCGCCCTAGTGTAGTGGTTCTCAAGCGGTGGTCCGCGAACAATAACATTTGAATCAAGGGCTATCAGAAATTATTTTCATTTTTTTTTAACATTACAATTCATATTGTAATGTTACTCCAAGTTCAACTGCAATTTACATTATAATGTTACTCTAAGTTCAACTAATACATTGAAAGTTTCGATTAAAATATATTTGCAAATTAACAGAATTTATTTTGAACCTAGTAGTCAGTGCAACAAATAAAAAAACCTGGGTGGTCCCCGGTTAAGAAAAGATTGGGGACGACTATTCTAAAAAATTAGGACCACAATTATTGTAAGGGATGCGCTACCATCACAGGTTTGGCCACTGAAATTGGAGGCTGATTTCACTTTTCAATATTTCCACATACATAGTCGAGAGATTTTTAGAAACCTCACACATCTTCTCGTTTCATATATTCTAAAGCGAGACAAGTTTTTCATTTGAATTAATGAAGCAAAAATATTTGCAAGAATGAGTTGCCGCTGTTTTTTTTTTTTAATATCTACATAAGTTCAACCAATATTAGTAACAAAAATGTAATCAAACCAACAAGAAAATGCTCTTAAATTCAATCTTCGAGCAACATGGCCTTTAGAGAATGAAACATGAAGAATAAAAAGTATTAATATTATAGTGTAATAGTATACATACACAGTTGAAAGAGTTCCTAGAACTTTTATATACCTCTCTCATCTTACATTTTTTTCCGAAAATCGAACAAAATCCGTAGTTTGCAAGAAATCCAGCAATAAAATATATGCAACGGGAAGAATCAAAAGGAACTACAAGAAGCAAAGAATAAAAAGCAAAGCAAGCTATATCTTTATTCTACTTTGCATGATCGATCCAACCAATCCCACATTTTATATGATATTATTGTGGAGAATAAGTATCCACTGTTGTAGGTGTAAAAAGAAGATTTTAGAGAACCTTAGAATATCACAACATACTGGAAAACGTAAGAGGAACTTATAGTCCAAACATTATTTCACACTATAACATTCTTCAGCAGCGTACTGCTGATAAATAAAACAGTTGTAGTTTTAGTCGTAAATGACATGGATTTAAATTCAAATCAAATTATTTAAACACAAGCTTCATGTTTTGGAACACATGTATGCATACAGGTGGATATTCACTATTAACATTTCTGGATAGGCTTCAAGTTTTCAGCAGCGCTTTTCAAGGCAGTTTCAAAGATGGGTATATGCAGGAAAAGAGACGCTTTCAAGTGTGGATCTGCAATCGTATAAGAACTATCATTTGAAATACTCTTTCATTTTTAAATTCTGAATTCATAGTTTACTTACCAGTTAAGTGCTGAACCCAATTTTTCAACAAACATTTCATTTTTTCCTCTGATAAGCCATCATATTGCAAACGTCGTAGATAAAACTGCTGCAAATGTAATACAGTAGAAGAATCGATAACTGGTATATCAGTGACATAAACCGGCAAAAAAAAATTCAGAGCTAAAAAAATCCTAGGAAATCAAGAACTCTTCTTCACCTCATACAATTGTTGCTCATTCATAACATCGATCGCAGTATGTTCACTTTTTAACGAATGATCCAAATGTCGCAGTATTTCTGCCCGATCATGAAGCCCGCGAACACCACCAGTAAGCAAACTTACTCGATGAAGCCTTGATAAGTGGTACTAAAAATTATATAACAAATTGAATTTGGGGAAAAAAATGACCCTGTTCTTCACAATTCCCACTTTTAATTGTGAACTTATTACCAAATGTCCAAGCGAATAAGTATTCATCTCCGGCAACTCCAATTTCTTGAGTTCTTTTAATGGTGTTTGTACATTAATATCCTATAAAAGTCTTTCTTTGCTATTAATGTAATAAACAATAATGGTAATAGAGCAGCACTCCTAAGAAAGTAATGAGGATAAAATTTTGGAAAAAAAATTCATCAAAATCCATCAAAAAAGTCCTGCTCAAAGGACTTGAAGGAATAAGAAATGTGAAACAAAGAAGTAATTTCAGCTGTGACGAATTATTATAATCTAAAAACAGTTGAAATATTAAGAAAAAACTGTAATTCTTAGAAGATATATGGATGACAGACTTTTGTTTTTCGCTTCTTGAAAAATCAAACCAAACCAAACTAACATACGAAATTTTGAAGATATTTCCGTAATGGATCAAAATGCATTTGTGCTGTACGCTTTAGACTTGTCGACCAAAATCTTTTTCGCTGATCATTTGTCCAAAAATGTCGAGTTAAGATAAGTCGTGGGAAAAATACCCTTCAAACAAAACAGTTGCTTAGGCGAGATAACTAAACAAAACCAAAACAAAATCAAAATGAACCAAATATTCAAGTTGATGTAATTCCTATAATCCATGCATCTATTAAACTAATTCACAAGACAAAGAAAAGAGAATGAAAAAATGTGTAAGTAATGCTACACTTCATTGAAAGGGTGAAAATTCAGTAACATACACTTTTCAAACGTCACGTAATTTTCATACACTCTGATAACTTATTTATGTTCATTTACCAGTAATAGGATGCATTTTACGAATCAGCCAAAAAATTTGAATCTATCAAACAAGAATGACAAATTTACAAGGTAATCATTTGTCTGAGTATGGATAAACATGGAAACCATATTGAAAAATATCTGGTAAGGAAACATATGTGAGGACAAGCAAAAGGATGAGAAAATGAAATACATCAAAAGGTAAACTTGAAAAGAAGAAAGCTTACACGGCTAACGCGAAAATGTAAACGGTGAATGGCAATGGTATAAAGATGACAATAACAGCCAGTTTCAGTAATTCTTCTTTAGTCTAAAAGAAAAGTTGAGAATGTTTTCAAGTTTCTGAAAGGGATGAAATTAGAGGAATTCTTCCATCTGATCCTAAGAATTATGAAAAGTAATCTAAAAATAATTAAAAATTACAAACCATAGTAATGTTTAGCGCGAGCAGATGTTAGGATAATATATAAGACAGCAAGGGTCGATAAGAGATGAAGTCAAAATATAGTACGTTCGAGATCGATAACAGTTGGATTATAGAACGATTTTCGCATAAGTAATAGCAAAAGATTAAATTCTATTAAGTTTTAAGCTTTACAACATGAAGCTCAGGTCTACCAGAAACTATGTAGTGTTCTACAAGTAAAAGAACAATTTCCACAACTTCTCAAGTGCTTATAATAATTAGAAGCTTTAGCTGATCTGGATACGTTCTACAGATTTACGTTCTACAGTAGAAAAAGCATACTAGAAGTGTAAATAGTTGATATAGTGAGTAGTAGATGTAAATAATCCTAAATCTTTATTTGATAGTAGTAGATGTCAAATATTTGATAGTAATAGATGAAAATAGTTCTAAACAGAATGTAAATAATCCTACAGCAGAACTCCGTTATTTTCATGTAAAGCTCAAATCGAAACATAACTAAGAATAAAACAGACACACACACATCAGGTGGAAAAGCAAAAAAAAAAAAAAGCACACCAACATAAATGTATCCTCAAAATCGAGAAAAAATTTAAAATAATTTCAAAAAATTAAGAAAAAGGCAACAAACTCACAACATCACGCAGAGACTCTCGCCCACTACCGGTATTTGAAGTAGCATTAATAGTGTGATTATATGCGTTATTTCCGAAGGGCACTGAATTTTTTCGAAATGTAATTTAATGAATTCCATTTAAATACATATATTTGATTATCAGTCTACTTTCGAATCCTTTTATTAATATGTGTTAATGAGTACCTAACGCTAAGAAATGAGACGTTTTTACTCCACTCGGCTAAAGATATTACGATACATCACCGATATGGTGACATTTTACGCAAACAACATTTAGCACAGGTTGTTACTTCAGATTTTTCATGGTTAATCAATCAGTTAATTTCATTTCAAAGTGAGAAGTATATTGCACATGCTGTGTTTTTTCCAACGTTTCACATTGCGAAATAAGCAAAAATGTTGAACCTGGAGAAGAATTTCCAATTCAGATCGTTTAAGTTCTGATATCTGTCGGGTTTTAGTTCTTAAATCTTTTTTCAATCGATAATATGTTTTTATATCTGACCAGCACCATTTGCATCCTAAAAAAAGAAAAATCTAAAATGTGGATGAGATTTTTTTTGCACATAATTATCGCAGTATTTTTGTATTTTTTGCTGATATCAAATTCAATTTTGGTTCAAAATTTTACGACCAAAAGTTTTATGGTGTAAGAAAGCTTCTAGGAATTGAGAGAAAGTAAGCATTCATTTCTAAACGATTGACGAATAAAAATTGCTAGATACAATTTTTGACCAAAAAATTTCGAGCAAAAATTAAATTTGGAAGTAAAACTATTGTGACAATTAATCCACAAAAGAAAAAAGCTCACCTGAATGTTATCTGAATGTTAGTTAGCAGATGAGAAGTAGCATTATCAAGGAATTCGAATGTTTAAATATTACGGTGATGTATGCTGGATATAACTTTGTTAACAACAAGGTACCATAAACTAACCATATTTTCCTCTTAGTACATTAACTTAGTTATATTCAAAGCAACTAGTATTTTTGCGTACTTTTATATTACACTCTAGTTTATTGTATCCTTCCCTACAAAGTTAATAAAAGATGCCATAGAAGAGGAAAAACAAAATAAAACCAGTACCATCCATGACCATTCTGTGAACAGCATAAGCTTTAGGATATCGTCGTGATAACAATGATTCATATTGTTGCATCAATCCTTTTCGTTGATTATTAGCAGTTGAGTTTAAACGGTTATTGGCTAAATTATCGCTTATCATCCATAACTGCGGTATCTTACATTGTGGCATTTCATTATTTTTTAACCGCAAACCTGATGGTATCAATCTGCAACCAACGACTGATGACTGCATGTTCCGTGTTATTAACATTAGATTTTTGAAGAACCTGAAAATTAAAAATAAAAAGAAAAAGAAAAACCATCGAAATGGTTGTCAAACAATCAGTAATCAACAAACTGGACAATAATACGATAATGTACTATCCTGTCAAGTGATAAAATCACATTAACAATTGATGCAATTCCTTGAATTATCATTCTAATTTTATTCATATCTGTTTCTTCACCTCGTTAATTAGCAAGCTAATTAATAAAGTGGAATAAGGAAAGCCTGGAATGGTGGAACCACAAATGTGGATAAAAGTAATTCAATTTTCAAATAAAACATGGAAAAACGTCTTCACTATCAAGTAACGAAATAGGGTCATTACAGCGATCCATAATTCGCTGAAAATTAGGGATAGAGGACAGCAATGATACGGTGGATGCAGGTACCTTAATCTGCCTTAATATTGATAGTATCTTGTATTATACCTTGAGTTTGCAAATTCCTAATCGTGATAATACCTTGCGATTGCTTCTGTCTTCGTGGTACCTGCAAGATACCTTTATTATAATGTTACCTCGTAAGTACCTCAATATTGATAGTATCTTTTAGGATACCTTAAATTTACTACTTCCTAATTCTGATAATACCTTGCGACTGCTTCTCTCTTGATGCTACCCTGCATGATACTTTCATCATAATGCTGTTTAATGGATAAATCGATTCTTGACAATGCATTGAAATGATATTCATTAATAAACTGACAAAAAAAAATTATTTATGTTCATTTGAAATGCGAGAAGATAATAATTAACTTCAAGCAAAAAAATAAGCATAAGGAAAAGAGGAAAAATGAGATAATTAAATAATTAAGAAAATAGAAATTAAATAATTAAGAAAACAGAGCAAAGATAAATTCTTAATTCTCATTTTGGAAAGATTAATCAAATTTAAGAGAAATATGATATATTTAGCAATATTTGTTGTTGCAAAATAGTTTTATTAAAAGAATAATGGAACAATTTTATACATTCATTCATTCATTCTTTTATTCATTCATTTGCTCATTTCACAGAAAGAATATCGATCAATTATCCTAAGTGAATGATTCTCATGATGAAGTAAATATTAGCAGGAAAAAGAAAACAGATTCAGAATAAGCTAACACTTACGTAAGCAACTGAAATTTATTGATAATATTGTTTGATAAGTTATAGAGAAAAAAAGTAAGCAGACATTTCGCAATTGATCAAGTGCAACTTGTCATATGTTTACTTTCTTTCTTTCATTCTGTTATATTGCTCATATTAACTGTTTCAAGAAATAAGACAATTAGTTAATCGATCATTTGATTAATTTGTATAAATGAATTATAAATTAGATCAAGTTATTTTTATTAATTGTTTGAATAGATTATTAAGTTATTTGTATATATAAATGTTGTAATATATGCTATAAATTGATAATTATTCAAGTTACACATTTAATCGATAGGTGAAGAAAATCAGTAGAATATTCAACTAGTGATTATGTTATATTTCTTCTTATAGTATTTTCAATTGATATTTTAATATGGAAAAAGATAAAAGAAAAAGAAAGGGAAGAATTATTTCAAGTATATATGGAACAAAACAAAATTAGAAATATAAATAAGATCATTAAGGATTGATTTAGTGAAAAGGAATTTCATTATAATTTATATGAAATTCAAAAACTGATATTATCCAACAATTATCAGGGATAATTTAACTTGTTGAATTCATAATTGTATACCAAATACATAAATCAATAAAATCAATTTATTTAGAAATTGTAACTTAAATATTACCAGTAAAGTATATTTGGAGAAAAAAAAAAGCCAAAAGAGAAATAGAAGGATGATAATTTTCGTCCCAAAGAACCGCAATTAATAATCAATCATCTGTAACACTTTCATACTTGACTAAAATGTGCATTATAAAAGAATGGATGAAAAGAGGAGGAATAGAGATGGGGGTCAGTCAAAGGTACAACTTCGAGGTCATTTTCATTCTATCAAACATCATTGAAGTGAACCCTTCACAAAAACCAATTTTTTTTTTTGTTCGTTTTTGTTTTTTGTCATTTTGTACTAAATTTAAAAATCTACGGACATATGGATATATTTGTAAAGTAAACACATAAAGATATTCTAGCTATCAATAAATTTTATTCATTTTTGTAAATGTTAAATTTTTGTGTCTCTTAAAACTACACTAATAGTTATTTTCTAACTTTATGATTTAATTTCATTTATTATTCAATTAATTTTGTTTGCTGTTTCCGGAAAATTCCGCAATTTGATATTCTGTTTCTTAGTTAATTTTGGGCAGATTAATTTGTCCAAAATAAATTAATTTGTCGTTAATTTTTTTTGATTTTGGACACTTATTTTTTATTTTGATTAATTTTATTTTCGGAATTTTTGAAAAAAATAATGTACTATGCTGCTTACAAAGAAAAATATCATTAAGCTTTGAAGAAACAGTTCGGATTTACTTTTGAAAAGCAAAAAAATTGAAGAAAAAAGTTTCCGAAAGTATTTTTTAATTCCATTGGAAATTACTTCAAAAATTTAGTTTCCTTTTTTCATTTTCATAAATTTTTCTTTCTTCTTTCCTTTTGCAAATGCTAATTTTTCTTTTCGAAATTTTTGTTATTATTAAATTTCTATTGTTAGCATTCGCTTATTTTATTTGTTATTCACCAAAAAAAAAAAAAAAAAAAAAAAAAATTAAAATCAGTTTTCACCTAAATCTAGACCGGTAGCATATCTTTATTTTAAAACTTAATTTTTTTCATTATTCATGAAAAAACGAAATCGATTCTCGTATTTTGTAAATTTGCATCTTTTATGCTATAACATTTAACACAATTTTATGACATAACAATTTATCAGCGGTAATATTTTTAACTAATGTTGTCATGTTTAATGATTGGTAAAGTTTCATTGGTGAAAAGTATTCATTATTTTTGAGTAAATGATTTCAGATGAATAATTTCAAGTAAATGTGCTAATGGAAAAAGGGAACAGTTGATATAAACTATCAACTTTTTCTTTTGTTTTTTTTTTTTTTTTGAAGCATTTTTTTCATTTAAACCATAAATGATGTAAGAATACATAAATAATTGGAATTTTTGTTTGAAATTTATAGGATTTTTGCAAGACAATAGTATTTGAAAAAAAGTTTGAAGAAAAAATAAATAAATAAAAATTTGAATATGCTAGTCAATTATTGATTTTGTTTTATGTTCCAATACTTTATGCATTTTCAGTTCAATAAAAAATGATAGGAAAAGAATTTCTATCAAATGAAGCCTTCGACAGTTTTTCTTTTTTTTTATTTTTTACTGGAAAATTTCATCGCTTTTCTCAACAATTCATTTTCTTTTGCTGTTACTTTGCAAGCATTTAAAGTTAAATAAAAAAGAAAAAATCGAAGCACTTTAAAATTTTAATTTGTTCTTCATAAAGTGCAAAAAAAAATCTACAAAATATTTACTTAACTTTTTTAAAAAATCATTTTATACTTTTTTTAGTATTACTTATTTTAAGCATTTCTTGCATCTTTAAAAAGGAAATTGGTATATAAGAATGCAATTATAAATGATATTATTCGGAAATTAGTATGAACACGAACACGATTCAGCAAACAATGCCCATCTTGTTGTATTGGACATTGTCCATTCAGACAATAAATGATCATAAACAATTATTTCATTGTTATCATGTTCGAAAAATATGATAATTAACCCTGAATATCACATCTTTGATAAGAACACTGTATATCATATCTTAATGAGAGTAATTTAAGAATTATTAAAATAGTTTTACGGCTTTGATATATAACTTTCTTACTGTATGAATTTCGTCTCTATATACTGTCAGATACTGTTAAATACCGTATGCTCGATACGATATTATGCTCGCTTTCTTGCTAACAACTTTATCATTCTGAATTTGAATTTTTAATAAATTGACTTCTTGCAATAATTTTGTCATATTTTCTTCATATATGTTTATTATACTATTTTATTATTGTATGTACATATATACCATTATGGTCATGGGTTTTAAGAAGATTCAGAAAGGGATGTATCCATGCTTATTGCAAATTATCACAAATGTGGATCTATCCTTCTAGCTTGCGCATTGTTTTTTTTTCTTTTTTTAGTTGAGACACAGCTTGCGCGGAACTGGCTCCACCCATCATTTGCCAGGGCCTAGCAAGCTAAGATAGTGATGGTGAAGTTCACAGGATGTTGGTTTAGTTGGAGCATCCTTCTCTTAGATGATTGTATAGGATATGATTATTCTCCTAGGATGGTTGCTGGGAAGCTAGCGAGCGCATCCTGACCGTGAACACATTTTGTCTGACCTTTCAGTTCGGGCCTGTCTAGCATTGGAGACCCTGCCGGAGGTATAATGTTATTGTCAGCATAGCACAAAACTTCATAAGGGTGCGCAAGACTTTCTCCGGTGACAAAAAGGTGTGCGTCGCGAAGTTATCATATTATCTATCTATCTATATATATATATATATATATATATATATATATAT